CATTACAGAGGACCATCTGTTTACTCACAGCCCACTGATTTCAATATAAACCTCATCCCAAAGCACCCTCCCAGAAACATCCAGAATAATGTTTGACCCAGCCAAGTTGGCACATCAAATTAATCATCGCAGGAGAAAAAAAAGAATAGATGAAATTGCCCTGAGCACGAATCCAGACAGCAGGCCACAACAGAGCGCTAGAGACCCCTTGGTTAAAAACCCCTCCTGCCCTCAAGCCGTTCCCTGATGCACACTTGCTGGACAACTAGGTGCGTGAACACGCAGGTACAGGTGCCGACACTTCTCCCCTTCCTCCTCCTCCGTGCTTTTCACAGCTGTTTACTGAGTGTCACCATGCCAAGCCCTGAGGCTAAAACTAATCAAGACTGGGTTCTTCTGTACACTTAAAATGGTCAATTTTATGTTACGTATATTTTACCACAATTTAAAATTTAAAAAAAAAAAATTAAAAGACTCCATTCTTGCCATCAAGGGTCTCAACGTCCAGAGAGGGAGGACACACACAAATCACAATTTCAGTCTAAGTCCTATCAGCGTTGATAGGTTCTTGGAAACTGCGACTTTAAGCAAAATGACTATAAATAAACCAATTTTACCATAAGCTAATGGATAGAAACAGGAGTTAAATTTCTACTGCATATTTCTGGTCACAAAAATACCACCAAACCGTACTACATAAAGTAATAAACACCAAACACTTACCAAAACACTTCTAATATTAAACATTGAAATAAATGTGAGCTCTAAATACACTTAAGAAAGGTTAATAAGCCGGGCACGGTGGCTCACGCCTGTAATCCCAGCACTTTGGGAGGCCGAGGTGGGTGGATCACGAGGTCAAGAGATCGAGACCATCCTGGTCAACATGGTGAAACCTCGTCTCTACCAAAAAAAAAAAAAAAAAAATTAGCTGGGCATGGTGGCACATGCCTCAGGAGGCTGAGGCAGGAGAATTGCCTGAACCCAGGAGGCGGAGGTGGCGGTGAGCCGAGATCCCGCCATTGCGCTCCAGCCTGCGTAACAAGAGCGAAACTCCGTTTCAAAAAAAAAAAAAAAAAGAAAGGTTAATAAAAGCAAGTAAGATGATTTATTCACCCAGTGATTCCAGTTCAAGATTACGGGTCAAGGTTCAAGGCGGGAACCAGCCCTGGCCAGGACACCATCCCATTACAGGGCATGCTCATTTACACAGCTGCACTCACTCACACTGGGACCGTGTGAACATGCCGGTTCACCTGACCTGCTCAGCTGTGGAAAGTGGGAGGCAACCAGAGCATCCAGGGAAGACCCATGCAGACCTGGGGAGAACACTCAGACTCCACACACACAGTGGCCTGAGCCAGAAATAACTTTGTTTCCCTCCTCATCAACTTAATAACAAAACCTCGTTATTCAAGGGCCTGCTACACAGGAGGTGGTGAAACAGGGTAAGCCAGAGAAGGCAGAGCCCATGTGGGTCAGCAGAAACTGCACCTCACTCACTGGCTCATCCGCTCACCTCATCTTTTCTCCCCCAACAAAGCTGCTCTGGACACAGGGCTCCTGGCACGCTGCCAACCAGGCCTTCATGCCCAGATGTGGATATCGCACTTCTCCAGGGCTGACATTCCACAACACTCACCCCTTAGCCATCCTTCCACAGACTTTTTTGGAGGTCAGGGGGGACAGGGTCTCACTCAGTCACCCAGACTGGAGTGTGGTGGCACGATCACAGCTCACTGTAGCCTTGACGTCCACAGTCTCAAGCAATCCTCCCACCTCAGCCTCCCAAGTAGCTGAGACTACAGGTGCCACCACACTTGGCTAATTTTTGTTTATTTTATTTTTCTTTAAGATGGAGTTTTGCCATGTGGCTCAAGCAATCAGAAAAATCTCAGTTCTGAATCTCAATCTTACCACTTACTGCCTTTTAGTCTTGAGGAAAGAAATGTGAAGACCTAACACAATCTGGCCTACATACATGGGTCCTTCCCCTTAACACACTGGATTAACAACTGTGACTCAAAGCCATTGATACCCTTCTTGACGTTGGGAAACATAGACATTAGATTCTCATTGATCAGTCTGCAATTAAGTGATTTGTGGATAATTAAAGTATTTGACTAAAAAGATATTTTTACCAAAATTGCTGCATTCGAAATAAGCTTTCAGAAATATTTTCTTATGTTTAAGGTGTAAGGACTTTTGCAAATCAATCTGATAGTTTCACACCAGTTTCACTGATTTTATATGTTATGTAACACTTGGCTCCACTCTATATATAATATACAAAGAAATAAGATATGGCAAGACTTAGTTATACTATACATTAATAATTTAAAAAGTTACAATTTTCTGCGGGATAGGAATTTGGTAAAAAATTTTTAGAATTTTGTTCCTTGACCAGGTACAGTGGCTCACACCTGTAATCCCAGCGTTTGGGGAGGTCAAAGTGGGCAGATCATCTGAGGTCAGATGTTCAAGACCAGCCTGGCCAACATGGCAAAATCCCATCTCTACCAAAAATACAAAAAAAAATAGTTGGGTGTGGTGACACACCCTTGTGCCTCAGCCTCCGAAGTAGCTCTGTAATCCCAGCTACTCAGGAGGCTGACCCACAAGAATTACTTGAGCCGAGGAAGCAGAAGTTGCTGTGAGCTGAGATTGCACCACTGCACTCCAGCCTGGCAACAGAGTGAGACTCCATCTCAAAAAAAAAAAAAAAAAAAGTGTTCTTTGAAAATTTTGTTCCTTTATTTTATAAATTTCAGAACAATTGATTTAAATGAAAAAATAAGTTATTTTGCTTTCGTTATTTATTTTCATCAACATTTAAGATGAAAACTCATTAGCACTCCAAAACAAAAACGAAAGAGAATCAGAAGAAATAATACAAATGTCCATCAGTTAAAAGTTTGGTTAAATAAATTACAGTAAATCTATAAAACGAAACACCCGGCAGTGCCTAAAGTGATTATGTGAATCTAATTTTATTGGCATTGTAGTGTATGTAGTGTATCTCCAATGCAGGGGACAAAGTAGCATGTGTGATACTGACCCACTGATGTAAAATTATAGACTGTGTTTCTCTGCTTCGTTCTCCCATAGCCTTCAGTTCTTCCTCTCTCTTAGCATTCAAAACACTTTACTGTTATTACTGAGTTAATATTTAATGTCTCTGCCAGACTAGACTATAAGCTTCATGAGAGCAGGAATCTCATCTTTAGCCCCAGCACTTAGACCAGTGTCTGACTCTGAAAAAATAAAAGTCAATACAGAGTTGTTAAATGAGTGGGTAGTCTAAGGAACTCAACTTGTTCTTGATGTTTCCTGGTTCCTTTTCAAACTGCTGACAAATTATCCGTCTGATTATCTGTTCTGGAAGTTTGCCTAAGACTAACATCAAGCCAGCAGAACTTTCCATTTTCTATCTGTGAGTGTTTGCATCCTTATTCATTTGGATTCTTAGTTTTCACAGCCTCTCTTGTTAAATTGTCAGCCCTTCAAAGACTGGGACCATGTTTAATTTGTTCTTTTTTTGTTGTTCATATGATATCCAGAAAAATGTTCTCCCCAAAGTGGGGGTCTTTTCAGTGATTAAATGGTTTGCCAAGTACAGCCTCCTAAGAGAATAAATTATCAGTTGGGGTTATTATAATTTAATGATAATCACAAACACTCCCTTTGACAGGCCAGGCACTGTGGTTGGAACTGTATGTCAATTATCCCCTTGATATGAAACCAACTTAAGTGCCCATCGACCAATGAGTGGATAAAGAAAACATTGTATATATACACCATGGAATACCACTCAGCCATAAAGAGAAATAAATTAATGTCTTTTGTAGCAACTTGGATGGAGTTGGAGGCCGTTATTCCAAGTTAAGTAACTCAGAAATGGAAAACCAAATACCATATGTTCTCACTTGTAAGTGAGAGCTGAGCTATGAGGACACAAAGACATACAGAATGATATAACGGACTTTAGAGGCTAGGGGTGGGGAGGCTGGGAGGAGGTAGGAATAAAAGACTACATACTGGGCGCAGCGTATACTGCTCAGGTGACGGGCGCACTAAAATCTCAGAATTCACCACTATAGAATCCATAAAAACCACTTGTATCCAAAAATACATTAAAATTTTTAAAACTTCCAAAAAAAAAAGAAAGCATCTCCTTCATTCATAACATTCCTCTGAGGATAGTACTTCAAGTCCCATTTTACAGATGAGACCCCTGAGGCTTCAGCAAGTCTCAGGGACTCACCACAGTCACCCAGCTAGCAAGAAAAGGAACAAAGACCGGAATTTTTCCCAGCTCCAAGGTCCATGATCTTAATCACCTGTGGCAATCCCCTCTCATATATCCAGCAGCTGATGGAGTCTTTCTCTCTCCAGACAAACTGGACGTAGACATATCACGTCCATCTTATAGGCAATATGGTGAATCAGGAGGAGCCATGAAAGGACGACTCACTAAGTTACTCTCCCAAATGTTTATGTTTGCTTAGACAGTGCCCATCAGGATCACTAGGGAAGATCGTTTCCTGATTCTTCTGCCCTTGCCTCCTGGACAAAAGCAGAGCACAGAAGCTGCATAAACCCTGGTTGGGCACCAAAGAACAGTCCCCACCTGGTCACTGCAAACCGCAGGGGTACGGAAGCCTCCGAATAATGCCCTCCCCATCTTGTTCGCTTTTTAAGTAGGTAAGCTGCACAGAGCGAAGCACTGTTGCGTATTTCTGGACTGTTGTTTATTTCTCTTGCAGAGGAAGACCCATATACACAACTAAAAGGCACTAACATGGGAGAAGATTTACGGGATTAGAAGGATGGTGAAAGCATGGTTGTCCAAAATCCCCCTCTGGGGAGAGATGATTGATATCTGGCCGTCATTACAAGAAGCTTCTGGTTGACAAAAACTGTCTGGTATTTCCTTGCTGATTTCTTACCCTCACACCGCAGGGAATCAGTCACCAGTAACCTGATTCAGGTAATTTGCATTTGCGGAGTGGACCACACCTGATTGCTGTGGGCCTCCCTGCTAATGCAAATTACCTGAATCAGGCTGCTGGTGACTCACCCACTCCCCTTTAAAGCAACATCAGGTTCAAGGCAGTGACTGCTCAGCGTAGAAGCCATGGCTCGCAGACACTGCTTCTCCTACTGGTTACTGGTCTGCTGGTTGGTGGTAACTGTGGCAGAAGGTAAGGGTTTTGCTTTTGTTCTACTGTGGGTCCACTAATTAATAAGCTGTACGAAAAGACAAAATTGGCTCCATGATTGCACATTCCCAGAAGCTGAAAATATTTACCTCAGCTTCCATCAGCTTGAGTGGTTAAAAAGAAGGAGGTTAGATTTTGTCATCTAAAGACCTTGGTCCTCGTCTCAGCGCTAGCTCTGTGACTTTAGACACGCTTAACATCTCTGAGCATCAGACTCCTCATATGTGAAGTGACGATATTAATAATATCCATTGTTGTGGGGTTTGCAAGGATCCAATGAGCTATCATCTGTGAAAAACTCTTCAAGCTAAAAACACTATACAAACACTAGTTATTATGGTTACAAAGCTAATCATTCCACCCTGAATTACAGCACTGTCCACTTCTATCTCCAGCAGTATATTAACTTGCACATGGTGGCTATTTAGTCTTTGTTCGTTGCTTTAATCACATCTATTGAGCTGCATTTTGGTGCCACAGAAGTGGGCACAGGTTTCTTTCTTTAGGATTATATTAGATTAAATTTCTCAACTCTTCCTATTCTCTCTCTTTGCTCCCACTACAAAATGTGTCCTGAGCCTTAGAATTGGTTTGCAAATCCCTAGGGAAAGGAAAGAAAAAGCTGGGGAAGGGAGGAAAAGAGGGAAAGAAAAGAGGAGGAAATCTTGGAGAGCCTAGATCTAACCTTTTTTTCACAGTTAATTTTGATTCCAAAATTAGATGCTGTTTAGGGAAGAGGGACCTAGGAGTCAGACAGAGCCCTTTGCCCCTTTCACATGTCTTGGGGAGGGGGTTTTGCAGGGGATCAACCAAACCCTGCTCATGCCTGGGCAGATTCCCTGTTCACATTCCTTAGAGCTCACAATAGACAGGAGAGGGGGAGAGACATCAGAGCTGGTTGTGAAACACTCAGAGACCCCCCCAGTCCAACTTCTGCACACACTCTGGCAATCAGGGGACAGGGCACAGATTATGAGCAAAACCTGCTCTCCAAATCCCAGGACAAGGCCCCCAAGCCTCACTTGCTAAAAGTGACATCTAAAAGCAGTGTCATAAAACAGAATTAGCCACCTGCCACCTTCTCTGCAGAAAGTGATCCGCTCTTCAGGGGGCTTTGTAAACATGTAGCTAAACAAGTTAGAAGATTAGCGATTTCTTTTATTCACATCTTAAGAACACCCATTGAGACAGGGCACAGTGGCTCATGTCGGTAATTCCAGCACTTTGGGAGGCTGAAGCAGGTGGATCACCTGAGGTCGGGAGATCAAGACCAGCGTGACCAACATGGAGAAACCCTGTCTCTACTAAAAATACAAAATTAGCCAGACATGGTGGTGCATACCTACAATCCAGCTACTCAGGAGGCTGAGGCAGGAGAATTGCTTGAACCCCAGAGGCAGAGGTTGCAGTGAGCTGAGATGGCGCCATTGCACTCCAGCTTGGGCAAGAAGAGCAACACTTCCATATCAACAACAACAAAAAACACCCATTGAAATATCAGATTTGATTTCCGAATTTGGTTCACTTTTCCCCCGCAATCCCTCAAAGTCCTTCATATGTAGCTTCATTCTCTCCCAGCAGCCCTGCTTCCAGTTCGTCATTCATTCACACACACCCTGGGTCTGCCTGACAAGGTTATGTGTGGATCTCCAAACTCACCCTCTTCTCGCTCCTGCATGGCAGCAACCACAGCTGCTCCCTCCTCTTGCTTTCACCTCTGTTTGTTGCATTTCTGCTTTAAGACACAATATTTAAGTGCCACTGATTTTGCCTTTACAAAGTCTTTGTTAAGACATAATTTTAAAATTGCAATCTCTGTTTCTGAAACCTTTGAATTCTGACAGCTATTTGTGCATCACCTACGGCACATATGGCATCTGCTCTGCACTGCAGATCCCCGTCTTCATAGCATCTGCCTGTTCCTTGAGCTCAGGCTCTTAGTCTCAATCATCTCTGCATTTGCCATAGCCCCTAATGTAGTAACCTAGACATGTTGAAATGACTTGACTCACAGCATAGAATTGAAAGAGGCCCATGTGATACTTTCTAGGCTCTGATTTCTCATCTGTGAAATTAGAGATTTGACCAAGATAGTCATTCTGTGAGTCTACAAAATAAATTGAGTTTTGCAGTTACTGTGAGTCAATCAATCATAGAACTTACTTTTCTTTCTGGCTCAAGTCTGAAAGCACATGAGAATTTTTCTAAGACTCCATGTGCCACGTAAGGGAAGCCTTGCACACTTAAACTTCAAGTATAAAGCTTACTTCCCTTCAAATCAGTGTAGTTCACTGCAAGCCAGCTTTGTCTGCCCAAATAACCACAGAGTATAGGTAATTATAAGAAAAGGTCTTTCATCATTATCTTTTTTTTAAAAAGTACTTGTTTTTAAAGTAGTTGTTTGTATGCTATGAATTTCATGTCTAGACTATAATAAACCACCTTAAAACTGACATTCAAATTCCAAGCAATATTTTGCCTTCCTCTATTATACTCTAATTTTTTTTTTTTTTTTTGAGATGGAGTGTCCCTCTGTTGCCCAGGCTAGAGTGCAGTGGCACCATCTCGGCTCACTGCAACCCCCGCCTCCCAGGCTCAAGCAATTCTGACTCAGCCTCCCGAGTAGCTGGGATTACAAGCATCTGCCACCATACCCAGCTAATTTTTGTGTTTTTAGTAGAGACAGGGTTTCACCATGTTGGCCAGGCAGGTCTCAAACTCCTGGCCTCAAATGATCCACCTGCCTTGGCCTCCCAAAGTACTGGAATTACAGTGTGTGAGCCACCACACCTGGCCAATTTTTAATATAAATTATTATTACAGATTTTCTGGGACTGAAAGACTCACTGAACTCCATAAATATATACAGAGAGAAACATTCAAGGTCTGCCTGACCATTCAATTCATCAAGTATTCACTGAGCATCACTATAAGCCAGGAACTATTCTAAGTGCTGGAGACATAGACAGTGACCAAGAGTCAACAGTCTCCGTCATTGGGAGGTCCTATTCTAATAACATGTGCCCCAGTAGCCCCATCTTTAATGCAAAAATTTTATGGGCCTAAGAAAATGGGGCTCAGGCTAACAATGTTTTCATAACATTCAAGATTAGTAACAGTAGCTGATACTTATTAAGGGTGGAATGTATGTCCAGCAATGTTCTCAGCACTTTACACATTTTATTTCCAATAACACTCGTAAAGGGATGATGAGATGGGTAGTATTATTTTCTTCATTTTACAAAGAAGGAAGATGAGACTCAAAGAGGTTAAGGAATCTATCTGTGTTCACCCAATTATTAAATGGCAGAGCCCAGAGAGCCTGGCTCTAGAGCCTATCCTTTTAAACACTTTGCTATTCTGCCCTTCAAAATGTTTTTAATCTGCATTTAAATATTTGACCTACTTTGGTCTTATTAAGCTTGCAGAAGAGCTCTTGTCTTTGACATCCAGTGCCTTTGATAGCATGTCAATATGTTACATAAGGGGAAATATTTGCTTATTATTCAACACACTACTCCTGAGAGGGAGGAACTTGTTAAATTTACAATTATAGAAACTGAGATTTCTCTCAGTCAATTCAATTGTACTGTAGGCACTGTGCTAGGGACGAGGAGGCAGCAGTCTACAAGACAGTCACGTAGATCTTTCAGTGGAGCAGGAATATAACCACTGAATAATAATCACACAGCCGATGAGTATGATGAAAGTGGACTCACAGGGTGCTATGAAAGCCCAGCCTCTGGGTAGGAAAGGCCTCCCTGACCAAAAAAAAAAAAAAAAAAAAAAAGAAGGGGGGCGGAGGGTGGAGAAAGAGACTTGAAATCAGATAGGAGTTTGCCAGGCAAAGAGGACAGAGAATGGTGCTCTCCGCATCTGCAACCACCTTCTCAGAAGCCCAGGACAATTAATGACTTTTTCCAAAGTAGCTTTTGTAGAGTGGAGGAGGCAGGGTCAGATTCCAAAGGATTAAATAGGGGGAGAAGCAGAATCAGAAGGTGTACAGACTTTAAAGAGAGAGGAATAGGAACCAAAGAAGTTCATGGCAGATTACCTCAGCTTTCTCTCTGGAATATGAAGCTAATTAATCAACTTAGAAAGGTAAAGAGAGCTTCAAAGAAAATTATTCAGATGAATGAAGAAGAAACATTTTGAGGGAAATTTGAGGAGATAGCCAAGGTTTTGAAGATGAGGAAGAGAGAATAAACAAAAGAATTAGTGAGCAGTGTTAGATCAGCTGAAGTTAGAGACCATAAATGGCATCAGCCCACTTTCTCAGATGTGTGGCCCTAACTTTGTAAGATGTGACAGGTTCCCAAACCAATCACTATTGCTCCCACATTTTAGGACACTTGCACTAGCTAACTAGGTCTAGTTTGCTTGGAAGAATGTGGTTTTATGTGGTCCTGCCCACATTTCTGGGTAAGTGATTGAAGCAAGCTTATACCTTGATCTTACACCCTTGAAAATTCCCAGAAAAAGAGAGCACTCAACACTACTGGACATCCCAGAGTCAGAGGAAATCTGCCTTGCAGGCTCTAACACCCAATTGTTAGAAGAGGATTTAGAGAGTAGCTTCAGGTTTCTAGAAATGAGATGAGCACAAGAGGCGGTGGGTGGGTGGTTTTTAACAGCTGGAGCACAGTTAAACTGGTGGCACAGCTCAAGGCCTCACTAAGCCTGAGCTGACAGCAAAATGCCAAAATGGGGCTTAAAACAGAAGCTAGCTTCTTTCCTAGCGACTAGCTTCTTGGCAGAATGTTTTCCTGTAAGGTTCAGAACTTACCAGAAAAAAATGACGAATGTGGGATTTGGTCATTTTCTGTAGTTTAAAGTGTCTCAATCTAGTTTCAGTCATAGAATTTCAATGTACTCTGAGTAGATATGGGAGAAGAGGTTGGTATTTTGTTCAAGGAACAGACACCCATTCAAGCTAGCTTTAGAGACAAGCAGAGCTGGAAGTGTACTGATTATTATAAGGATATCTCCAAGATACTTAACTATAGCTAGGGCTCCCTGAAAAGCCAAAGACTGGTGGTGCATGGTGGCTCATGCCTCTAATCCCAGCACTTTGAGAGACCCGAGGCAAGTGGATCACTTGAAGTCAGGAGTTTGAGGCCAGCCTGGCCAGCATGGTGAAACCCCATATCTACTAAAAATACAAAAATAACTGGGTGTGGGGGAGGGCACCTGTAATTCCAGCTACTCAGGAGGCTGAGGCAGGAGAATAGCTTGAACCCAGGATGTGGAGGTTGCAGTGAGCCGAGAATGTACCACTGCACTCCAGCCTGGGCAACAAATCAAGACTCCATCTCAAAAGCAAATAAACAAAACCACCAAGGCTGGCCGGGCGCAGTGGCTCACGCCCGTAATTCCAACTCTTTTGGAGGCCGAAGCGGGCAGATTGAAGTTCGAAGTTCAAGACCAACCTGGTTAACATGGTGAAACCTGTCTCTACTAAAAGTACAAAAATTAGCAGGGCATGGTGGCGCACGCCAGTTATGGGTGTGAGCTACGCGGGAGGCTGAGGCAGGAGAATCGCTTGAACCCGGGAGGCAGAGGTTGCAGTGAGATCACACATTTGCACTCCAGGCAGTGAGATCACACATTTGCACTCTAGGCTGGGCGACAGAGCAAGAGTAGGTCCAAAAAAAACCAAAACAAAACAAAAACAAACACCAAGGCTGTTGCTCCCAACATCATCCTGTTAGCACAAGGCCTCTAGTCTCTTCTCTCCCCAGAGACAGGTCTTCCCGGTTTTGCTGCTTCTATGTGCAGACTGACTTCTCTGCATTCTCGAAGTTCCGCGGGCCAAAACCAGACACTCAAGCCTCCTGCCCTATACCTTGCCCTGCCGTCTTCCACGTGGTGGCTCAGTTCTCCAGTGAGAATCTGATTGGTCACTGACCAGCCAATGAATGAATTGAGCGTCTATCAGAGGTCCAATCAGCCATAGCCAGGAGGTGTGTAGGACTAACCTTTCCAGGGTTCATGGATGAAACAGAATATGTAGGAGGGACCATGAACATAGGCAAATAACAAGCCATTCAACACAACCAAGAAAACTGAATTCGACTGTCCTGAAGGAGAGGGGAATCGAGTCCTTTATAAGTGCCTCAGTACTCTCAACTTCCTGTGGGAAGTTCCTTTTATCATCATTTACGCCGGCAGCCCTTTCCAGGATGTGTATGTAAGCCTCTAAGGGAGTGAAGGAACGATTTTCTAATGGAAAGATTACTTTTTCGTAGCCAATTTGATTCAGTGATACAACCAAAGAAGACTATGACACTTGAGTTTGATTTAAATTTCTTCTCAAAAATAATTGCATCTTGGTTCTCGGTGCTCTTTCTTCAGCTGCTTGTAGATGGCCCCTCCCTTCCTCTAGGGAATTATTTCACTGCTTGTGTAGTTGAAGCAGAACTTTTGAATTAATGGCCCTTGGGGGTAGTTATTTTTATTTTCTTAACATTAATTAAGTTCTTTTTTTAACGGAATTTTCTTTATTCAGTTACAATTTACATGCAATAAAATCCATACATCTTAAAGGTACAGCTTGATCACATTTTACATATGCCTACATATAAATGTGTGTATGTGTATAAACATATATGTGTACACACAAATGTATATACGTGTGTGTACACCTGTGTGTGTATACCTAGAGATATATAGATAACCCTGTCTGTGTAACAACCACCCAGATCAAGACATAAAACATTTCTAAAGAGTTCCCTGGCTACACTTTCTGCTAAAAAACACCTATCTGTGCCCTAAGCTGAATTATTATTTTGACTTTTTTAAACTATAATTTTGCTTGTTCTTGAACTTCATATAAAGGGAGTAGTTGTACAGTATGTACAGTTTTGTGTCTAAATTCTATTGCTCAACATTATCCATGTTGCTCTGGGTATTAGTAGTTCTTCCTTTTCATTGCTGAGTACTATTTCATTGTATGAATATACAGTTTTTTAATGCATTCTTCTGTGATGGACACTTAGATTGTTTCCATTTAGGCTATTATGAATAAGGTTACTGTGAACACCCCTGAACTAGTCTTTTTGTAGACATAAACATTCATTTCTCTTGGGTAAATTCCCCACCGTGGAAATGCTGGGTCATCAGGTGTGTCTGTGTTTCTTTTTTTTTTGTTTTGTTTTCTTTCTTTCTTTTTTTTTTCTTTTTTTGAGACAGAGTCTTGCTCTGTCGCCCAAGCTGGAGTGCAGTGGTGCATTCTCAGCTCACTGTAACCTCTGCCTCTCAGGTTCAAGCGATTCTCCTGCTTCAGCCTCCAGAGTAGCTGGGATTACAGGTGCATGCCACCATGCTTGGCTAATTTTTGTATTTTTAGTAGAGACAGGGTTTCACTGTATTGGCCAGGCTGTTCTCAAACTCCTGACCTCGTGATACGCCCGCCTCGACCTTCCAAAGTGCTGGTTTTACAAGTGTGAGCCACCACGCCTTGCCTTGTGTTTCATTTTATTGAACATGGGCAGTTCTTTCAAATATACATTGAGACTTCTCAAATTATCTCTTCCCATCTTTCTCCTCTGCCACTACTCTAAAGTATCCATCACCCGTCTGCTTCTGTTACCAGACCTGTTTCCTAACTTGTGTTTTCCTCTCCGCAGGACAAGAAGAGGTATTTACTCCCCGTGGAGACTCAGAAAATAATGCAGACCATACCGACTGCCAGGTCTTTACACTCACCCCTCCACCTGTCACGAGGAGTCCCGTAACAAGGGCCCAGCCCGTCACAAAGACCCCCAGGTGTCCCTTCCTTTTTTTTCCACGAAGATTTCCACAAAGGCCCAGAGTCCATTTTCGGTTTCCAAACAGACCTTTCCTCCCTTCAAGGTGTAACTACCGTTTTCCATTCCAGCCATTTTATTGGCCACACCGTCGCCTTACTCCCGGTAGGTATTTCCTCAGAAGAAGACTCCAAAGAGGAAGCTCATCTGAGGAAATCTGAGAGAGAAGAGAAACCCAAACATACTGAAGGAAAAAAAAAGAAAAGAAAAAGCCAATCCTTCAGAAAAAGCAACAAAAAGATTTCTGTTTTATCTTTCCAAACTAAAACTACCAGATTTGAAGATTAAGTCTCCTAAACACCACTGACTAGAAACTGTTCTCTTTGTCAGGAGTGAAGATATTGGACCACAGGTTACTGATGTTTGCAAAATTGAACAATATATTTTTATCCTCAACTTATGGTCAAGAATATTTATGCAAATAAAACCTTAAAATGGGTAGCTCCAGTAATTCCTATCCATACTGAGATGCTGAAAGAATCCATCTCCTCCTCTAAATTAAACAGCATTTAAATAAATTGAGATCATTATAAAACTCACAAAGACACTAATGACATCATTTTTATATTCATTGGAAAATGTACAGAGCAAGGTGCATTTACAAAATAAACTTTAAAAGAAATGATAAAGCTTAAAGCAATTAAAAAGTTATGGGGAGTCTGATTGTAGATAATACTTTGAAAATATAAACTGACTTATGTAACCTAAATAATTTTTTTTCCTTTGAAACAGAGTTTCTCTCTTGTTGCCCAGGCTGGAGTGCAGTGGCATGATCTCGGCTCACTGCAACCTCTGCCTCCCAGGTTCAAGCAATTCTCCTGCCTCAGACTCCTGAGTAGCTGGGATTATAGGCGCCTGCTACCACACCTGACTAATTGTTTGTATTTTTAGTAGAGACAGGGTTTCACCATGTTGGCCAGAATAGTCTCAAACTCCTGACCTCAGGTGATCCACCCGCCTCAGCCTCCCAAAGTGCTGGGATTACAGTGTGAGCCACTGCCCCCAGCCCCAAATAATTACTTTTAAAGTATAGTATCTAAATTTACTTTAATGTTGACTTCTTAAACAACTGGTGTGAATTAATTTGATAAGTTTCTCACTGTTTCCCCTGTTATCATTAGATAGATGCTGGCTAAAATGATATACTTCTTCTCAAACTTTTAACATGATTCCAGGTTCAAAAAGCCTGGTTAAACAGCTTCAAGAATATTCTGGCAACTCTAGAACTCTACAGACATAAGTTCACTCAACCTCGGAAACTTGTATTCTCAGGATGCAATATGAGAAACAAATCCCACAGATTGCATTCATTGGTTATTTGTTTTGGCCCCTCTGTAAATCACAGCTCCCTGTTTATGCCACTCATCTTGCCTGTAACATACGAACTTTGATTCCACACATGTGGGCAGCAGCTTGCCTTGTTCCTCCCAAGAACTATATGCAAAAGTTTCTGTTGCTACTGCTGCTACAGAAACAGAAAGGAAAAAAATTAGTACCAAGACATGACAGAACTTTGGGAATGGTTGCCCTGGAAAAGGAAAGAGAGATAAAATCATCATGTTATGTTTCTTTGGTTTATTAAAATGATTTTTAAAAAAGAAAAGAAGCTATTTATTTCATTCACTTTCTAGAAAATATTCATTTTAAGAACAGATTTTTGCTTCCAATTTACAGGTTTCAAAAAATATATATATTTGAAAACCTCATCAGAAAAACAAAACAAAACTATAATTTAAAATAAACCCTACCTGCTCTCTTTTTTTGGTTAATGGGGACATACCAGAAAAGGGCCAGCTTCCAGCAAACTTGAAGACAGATAAATGTTTGCATTTGAAACCCGTCTCCCCTTCTGACTCTCCTCCTTTATTCTGGCATGCTCACCTAGATACTTGGTGTCCTCATAGTGCCAGCAACTGCCAAAAACTAACCTACCTTTGACCAGACTTTCTCTTCCCAAATGTTGGAACATTTCCAATTCAAAGCTTAACTGTAGTGAAATCTAGTCCTTGAAGGCCTTGCTAGGTAATATGTAAGCCTCAGGTAAACTAAGACAAACTAATGACACATGAATAGCTTCAATGTATTAATCACTGCATCTAATCTAGCAGGCAGGCTACTCCTACAATGTTTCAGAGTAAGGGCCTTTCAACATAACTCTAGGTAAAAGTGCATTATTCCTCACCCGGAAACATGCAGAGAGTATGAAAAGCAGCCCACACCTGCAATTAAAAGTATAGACCTAAGAGTGCAAAAGGCTTATTTGGGGGGGGAAATATATGCTTTTGTGACTTAGAAAATGTTGTATCATTCCTTTGGATTCATAAAGTTGCTTTTATAATACAGAGATTCCTAGCAGGTTTATCAAATTAGAAGGATAACGTGGAATCACGAATACCTCCAAGTGAATTCGTTTCTCAAATGAGTTCCTATCAACTAGCTCTTTTGGAAGCAATGGGAGACTGTGGGAAGGATGTAAGAACTCTTTAATGCACGTTTTTTTTTTCTTTTGCTTTTAGGCAGGAATTACAATAAAAATATTGTAAGTTTAAAGTTCTAATCATGCCCAAAACACATAACCTGAATCTAGTCATCAAAAAAAAAAGCCCCTCAAATTGAGGAACATTTGCAAAACTGGCATCTTCAAATATGTAGATGTCATGAAAGACCAAGGTTAAAGGAGATTTAAGTGGCATGACAGTTCAGTGCAATACGTGATCTTCGACTGGATCCTGGAGATCAGAAGGGGAGGGAGAGCTTGCCATAAAGGACATTTTGGCATCACTGGGACAACTGGCAGGTTTTAAATTTGGACCATGTGTTAGGTAACAGTATTTTGTCAATGTTAAACTTTCTGCATTTGATAATTCTGTAAGAGAATAGTCCTGGTCTTAGGAAATAGATGTTGAAGCATTTGAGGGTAAATAAGTATGATTTCTGCAACTAAATCTCAAAAGATTCAGCAAAAATATGCATATACATGCAGATATATGATTGATAGATAGATAGGAAGTAATGAAACACATGTGGTAGAATGTTTTTACAGTTGATGTATCTGAGTAAAGGGTATATGGGAGTTGTTTGTACTACCCTTGAAGCTCTTCTAAAGTTTGACATTATTTCAAGCATATTTAAAGAGCATTATTAAAAACAACACAAAAAATTAATCTCAAATGTATCCATGCCCTTGAAGATAAGTTAAAAATGAAATCTCATTCCCACCTTCCCACACGAACAACCACCTTTCAGCGACTTACATTGATTATAAAAGTGATGGGGCAGAAAGACTGGCTGTGCTGAAACTCAGCTGAGCACTATTATTTGGGGAAGGTTCATTTTTAATGGGAGGAGGAAGAAAAAGTTTAGCTGGAAGTCTGAGTGCAAAGGAAGAAAGAGAAGAAATGAGCTAGCATTTACCTCCCACAACCACCACCACCAGCCGGCCCCTTGGATTGAATTTGAGCCTCCAGAGCTGGCAGTGAACACCAGAAGCTGTTGTCAGTGTCTTAAGAGACGTTGGTGGCCTCTGAACATAACAGTGCTGATTTGGGGTCAAGATGACACAGTGTGGCACAGATTTGAGGAGGGGGCCATTATCTCCACCTCTGCACAGAACCCACTCCTGCTCTGACACCTGCAAAACAGCAGCAACTTTTGGACAATGAGGAAACAGCAGCACCTTATATTGAACACCTGTCTCATCACAGAGACTACTGGCCACCTAAGCAATGAGGAAGCGCCTCGCAGGGCTTTGTAAACAGCACATGCCTACAAGAGACAGCTTAGCCAGAAGGATATGAAGGATATGTAGGCTGTATGGGGTCTGCTACTGAACAATTGGTTTGTGACACATTTAAACCATGGTTAACAATGGAGTTTGCTAGCTTCCTGATTAAAAATGAAAAAATTTTAAAGAGGCTACTTGTTCTATAAATGTTACCTCATGTCATATGAAAAATTATTTGAGGAGGTCTGCTAGTTTGCCTGGGCTGCTATAACAAAATATCAGACTGCGCGGCTTAAACAACAGAAATGTGTTTCTGAGAGCTACAAGTCTCAGATCACAGTGCCATCAAGGTTGGTTTTGATTTAGGGCAGGTGAGCCCAAAAGTGTGGGTTACCTGTGAGGGTTCTTGGCTTTACCTAGGAGAGAATTCAAGGGAAAGACAGAGGTAGAAGGAAACAGATTTATTGAAAAGGCAGTGTTACAGCTTTGTGACTCAGGGCTACCCAGAAGGCAGAGACTAGTACCTCGGGGCAGTTTTGCAGTCATATTTACATCTACTCGTAAGTGGATACAGATTAAGGTGTGATTTATGCAGTGGTTTTTAGGGAAGGGGTAGTAAATTTTGGGTCATTGGGTCACTGCCATGGAAAGGGGCAGTCACTCCTGGGTGTTGTCATGACAATGGTAAATTGACGTAGCACACTGGTGGGTGTGTCTGATTGAAGGGTATTAAAGGAGGCTTCCTTCTCACTCTCCACCCCCATTTTAATTAGTCCTCAATCTGGTCTGATGTGTAAGCCCCACCTCCAGAGTCCAGTCCTGCTTCCTGCTTCTTTCTTCTGAGGCCTCTCTCCTTGTCTTGCAGACGGCCACCCTCTTCCTTCTCTTCAGATGGTCATTTCTCTGTGTACATGTGCCACTGGTGTCTCTCTTGTGTGACTAGATTTCCTCTTCTTATAAAGACACCAGTCAGATTGGATTAGGTCCCATCCTAACAGCCTCATTTTAAATTAATCACCTCTTTAAAGGCTCCATCTACAAACAATTAAAGGTTCCATCTCCAAACAGTCACATGGTGAAGTACTGAGGAGGCTAAGCCTTCAACATACGAATTTGGGGGAACATACTTCGGTCCACAACAAGAAATATCCAATTTTCATAGAAGTAACTACAAACTTCCAGAGCAGCTACATAATCTAGAGAAAGCTGGCTCTGATTCTAAAGAAAACAGGGTTACAATATTCAAGCACTTTTTTTTTTGAGACGCAATTTCACTCTTTTCACCCAGGCTGGAATGCAATGGAGCAATCTCAGCTCACTGCAACCTCCGCCTCCCAGTTCAAGCAATTCTCCTGCCTCAGCCTCCCAAGAAGCTGGGATTACAGGGGTGTACCACCACACTCGGCTAATTTTTGTATTCTTAGTAGAAATGGGGTTTCACCGTGTTGGCCAGGCTGGTCTGGAACTCCTGACCTCAAGTGATCCATCCACCTCGGCCTCCCAAAGTGCTGGGATTATAGGTGTGAGCCACCACACCCGGCTCAAGCACTTTTATACATACAAAAAAATAGGCCAGGCCTGGTGGCTCACGCCTGTAGGAAGGCTAAGGTGGGTAAATCATTTGATCCCAGGATTTGGAGACCAGCCTGGGCAACATAGGGAAAACCCATCTCTACAAAAAAATCCAAAAACACAAAATTAGCGGGGAGTAGTGGCATGTGCCTGTAGACCCAGCTACTCAGGAGACTAAGATGGGAGGATTGCTTGAGCCCAGGAGGTCGAGGTTGCAATGAGCCGTGATCACACCACAGCACTCCCACCTGGATACCCTGTCTCAAAATAATAATAATAACAATAATAATAATAAAAAAAGAAAAAATAGGCCAGGCATGGTGGCTTTCACCCATAATCCCAACACTTTGGAAGGCTGAGGCAGGGAGATCACTCAAGTCCAGGGGTGTGTACCTGTAGTCACAGCTGCTTGGGAGGCTGCAGTGAGCTATTATCACACCACTGTACACCAGCCTAGGCAACAGAGCAAGACCCAGTCTCAAAAATGATAATACATAAAGAGAACCCTAACTTTTTCAAGCACAGAGCTTATTTCATTTAGTTTTGCAGTCAAATGTAAGTAGAGATCAGATTCCTAGAGGAAGCTCCAGGCTTGTTCTAAAGGGCAGAGAGAGAAACCAGTCAAGGGTGGGAGGTATGAAAGAGTAGACACAACTGAACAAGGTGTGTGGGGCAATCAGTTCTATAAACCTCAGCAACGCGTGGGGTCATCATCAAGTAAAACCACTGAGGTGGCCGGGCATTGCGGCTTACACCTGTAATCCCGGCACTTTGGGAAGCCAAGGTGGGCGAATCATCTGAGGTCAGGAGTTCGAGACCAGGCTGGCCAACGTGGTGAAACCCCATCTCTACTAAAAATACAAAAATTAGCCAGGCGTGGTGGCGCCTGTCTGTAGTCCCAAATACTCAGGAGGCCGAGGTGGGAGAATCTCTTGAACCAGGGAGATGGAGGTTGCAGTGAGCCAAGATGGCACCACTGCACTCCAGCCTGGGCAACACAAGCAAAACTCTGTGAAAAAAAAACAACAACACTGAAGTGTGACAAAATAGCTCTAGACTGAAAACAACACAAATGTCCACCTGCAGTAGAATGGGTAAATCCATTGCTTTTTTCCCCTACACTATACTGCTACACAGCAATGAAAATCAACAAATTACTACTATTCATATGTAGATGATTCTCACAGATTTCATGCTGAGCGAAAGAAGTCAGTCACAAAACAATACATATAGTAAGATTCCATTTTACATGAAATTCAGGAACAGGCAAAACTAATCCATGGTGATAGAAG